TCATGTATATATATATATATACTAGTGTACCTTTGTGCATTACACAATAGCCGTGTTATGCAAGCACTGAGGTTTTAAGCGGGTTGCGTTATCCACTATCACTTGCATGTGGGTTTTCATACCGTCTACCGCTTTTGCACATCCCTACAGCTGAGTCCGCAGAACGGCCATGTTAGTGATGATGGCACAGTGCCTTCGGCGTATGTGAGGAAAGGGTCGAGCCTGGCGGGTGTCGTACGAGAAAAGGCTCCGTTCCTTCATCCTCCAGGAGTGAGTGATATATTTTGCTCATTACTGTCGTAGCCTTCAGCTGTGTTAGTGCTTAGTGCAGAGTAGTTAGCGTGAATATTGGCTGTTTGTCAGAGTGTCTAATTAATATTGTCTAGTATGTGTGAATCCACTGTGCCAAAAACGCGTATATCCTGCGGTTCAAAAATCAAAACACGTTTACAGATGCTTATGTCCAATGACTAGTGGTGTTGTATGATTGTGGTATGTTCTAATATACGCTGACCCAATTAATCGGTACACCCAGCATCAGGGGTCGTTCAATAGCGAAAACTTTGGAGGCGAGTACTCAACATTGGGATCGACGAGGTCCATCTACGTCATCTACACAGGCGGTACTCTGGGCATGACCTATGGGGCAGACGGCTCGTTGCGCCCAGAACCACGTACGTACAGCTGAAGCAAGATGGGTTCCCTGTAATTGAGTAGTTGTGTGTAAGTATACAGAACTACGTACGTATAACGGTTTGTAAGTGTGGCTTGTGTAGCAATTTTCGGTTTTCTTTTCTCTGGAGTTGTACCGCAGAGACGGCTTTCTGCTCTCGCGAGGATTCTATGTGGTGCTGCACCTCGTTGTGTGTAGTACTTTGTTGACATTTGTTTCTTGAGTTGTGAACCGGTTTCAGCCGAGGCCTGGTACTTGAATTAGCGATTCACTGTACATTATGTAGTCTCGTCAGTCGTATGGATCAGTAGTCGTTGGAGCTGGTTGCACATCATTGCAGCAAGCGGCCTCAGGGACTGTACTCCAATACATATTTTGTATGATCAAACGTCCACATCAGAAACAGTGCATGTGCTTTGTATATTATGTTACTGTTATAAAGCCTTCAATTATATACTGCCGCACGAAACTGCGCGAATGTTGCGAAAAGCGGAAGCCATAGACTTCTTTCTTCACATTGCCAAATCCACACACAGAGAACCTCGCATAGCTATCTGGAAAATGAACCGGTTTTTTCTTTGTTCTATCAGACTTTTTGACTCAGAAGATACAGTCGTTGCCCGAGTTCCGGTCTCATCAGATGCCACAAATTGTCATAAACGAATGGGACGTCATTAAAGGTATCTAAGTATGTCACTGCTCATAAATTCTGTCGCCGGAAAGTGTGTGATGCCCGACCCTATATATATGTAGACCCGCTATCGCTTTTGTGTACAAACACAGTGTGACGCTTCGCTGTGCTGTGTCGCTTCTTCACAGTGTTTCACTTAGAACATTAGAGTACTAGAGTAATAAAGTAAAGTATTGCAGATAGTTTACTGATAACCCTTTCAGTTCAAGAGACTATAGACTATTCAATCTTCTTCTTTTTTTCTTTGTTCACATTCGTGCCCCTCTATCCGCCTTTGCTGAACTTCTGTGGGAAATGCACTTCATTGTGTAGATTCATCTGATATGGGTTTTCAAGAGGCAGCGAAGTTGGCGGAGGAGATTCAAGCAGTAAGTCTCGCTCACTTTCACGATTTTGCGTTCTGGTGTGCATACATCGAGTGACTAACTATATTGCACTGTGAAATCGTGGGGTGGACGCCATCGCACTGTGCTTATTTTTGAATATTCTGATGGGATGTTCAACAACGTGTACGTACTGTGGTGAATGCTTGCGCTAATATGCTTATACCTATGCAATGCCAGAACTATGATTCGTACGATGGGTTTGTCGTACTGCACGGCACTGACACCATGGCCTATACCGCAAGTACCCTGTCCTTCATGCTAGAGAACCTCGGAAAGCCAGGTGCGTTGTCGTGATCGGAAACGGACATTTCTTCTCGGCGATTTATTAACGATCGCCATCGAGTGGCTAGAGTATGAATATTTGCAGTGGATAGACGCACACATGGCAATTGTGTTTGTAGTTGTCGTGTGGTGCACTATTCGATTGTGGGGTGTTGAGCGTCTGGTTTTCAGTGTCTTCTGAGCATTTGCACGGTACGTGTAGTAGTCTGAAACACCTATGTTAACGCAATGGGTATAAGTTCGAATAACTCCGCCAGTAAATATGTCCACTTGGGTTGCAGTGATAGTCACAGGGTCATCCATTCCGCTGTGTGAGATTTACAATGACGCCAGAAGGAACGTGATTGTGAGCTTCATGTATGCCTCATCGTCTGACTTATGCGAAGTTTGCGTATTCTTCAACAATGTTCTGTTGAGAGGCAATCGGTGCAGTAAGGTGTGTATCGTGGTTTTTACCTAAAAAATATTCTTCCTGCTGTGTCATATTGATCCCAAACAATCTCATTTGATCTGCCAATGGGCTACCCATTGTTCCACAGCTGCTCGTGTGGCACAGTCTGCCATTCTCAAATCTCTCGCAGCGACGCAATTGTATATGTTTTCCGAGTGAGTGCGTTCCATACGACTCTTCATTTCATTGTAGGGTTTAGGGTTTTAGTTTTTTTGGTCACGCTTCAGTCCCCACGGCCTGCAGGTGTCAGTCCGCGAGCTCAACGCGTTCTGGTCAAATAATTTTCCACCATTGGGTAAACTGGGTGTGCATATGACGCTGACCAAAGATCTTCTGAGAGAGCCACCCAAGGTAAATTAGCGGCAAAGTGCATCGATTGGTACATTCTGTTCTCCTCTTTTCCCTTCCGCTTAGATATATCGGACTTGAGGCCGCGGACTGTTAATATTTTCTCACCTGCAATTGTTTGAGCGGTCTAAGTGAAGTCTCGCGCTTGTGAAGTAACATAACACATCGGTCGTCTCTATCACCGGATTCTGTTTGGGTCTGGAATTTCCGAACAACTTAGATGAGTTTTTAAAAGCAACAGGAAATATGCCATGTTTGAATCTGAAACATGTTTCAATAGCATGTTACATCTTTGTTCTTGTACGGTCATACAATAGGATTATGTATGTTCCTCGTATCACAATTTCTTATGAACCTAAATTCACTGGTCCTATTTATTTTAAGGGGCATTTCTGGATAAATTAGGAACTCGATGAAAATATATTACAATTCAATCTGGTTAAATTTATTAATAGGGGCATTTCAAAGTACACAAGGAATTCGATGAAAATATAATACAATTTAATCTGCTCCCGGGAATCAAGGCTGGACTGGTCCATAACATGATACAGCCGCCCGTGAAAGGCATAATTATGCACACTTTTGGAGCTGGTATGTCGCATCGATAGAATCGTTGAAATCAAACCCCTAATTTCTATTTTGTCCAGGGGAATCAGTATCTCAGTCATTCAATAGTGTCGCAGTCTAAAAGCTCGTACCTTTCAACCCACACTTTTCCAACCCAAACTATGTCAGGGAATGGACCAAGTGATCCGAGCTTGTGGGAAGTGCTTAAAAAGGCATCTGATCGTGGAGTGTACATCTACATTCTGACACAGTGTATAAGAGGGTACGTTAACGGTATCACCAAGCGTTGCTTGCAACTTCATTTAGTATTCGAATTTTTATTCTTCAAGTACATGACTCCGACTGCCGTTCATCTCCTTGCACTCGCGTAGTTCGTGCATACGTCTTTTTTGGCGTTGATTTTTGAATGGTCAGGGAATTCTGCCCCCCTATGCTGTCAATTACGATTTCCCGCTCGCAGCTGAGAGTTTGTCGAGGGTGTTCTTAACACTACACTTGTCTCGGATGCAGTACGTTTGTACTCAGATCGACGATGCATGTTCTGTTCACATCAGGTACGTGACGTTTGGGGAGTATGCGGCAGGACAGGGGGTATCAGCATGTGGTGGTATTTCAGGGTATGATATCACTGTGGAGTCGGCCTTTGCGAAAATGGGATGCATTCTGGGTAGGAATCTGCCAAGTGATGTAACGAGAGAGCTATTGGCATCAGATTTGCGTGGAGAGATGACTGTGGATATTTCATCAGATCATGTGCCGATGGGGCTTTAGGTTCGTATCTGTATTCTACATCGAGAATAAAGTGATTATATCGTCTGAAACCGTTTTAAAATGACAATAACAAACTCGTTACAGTTAGCGAGACGCCATGAATACATTTTTCAAGCATATAATTTCTCTCTTTGCAAGCCAAACGTTATAATAGATCTGATCACAATTTCCAGACCCACTTGTTTCGATTTCACTTCAAGCAGTATCTGAGCGAAATAGAAGAGTCATACGCTGGTGCTTAGTAGTTTTAAATGGATATGTTATCCGCACATTGCTATTTCTTAAACGTGAGGGGCATACGCTGGTGCTTAGTAGTTTTAAATAGATATTTAATGCATACATTGCTATTTATCAAACATAAGGTTCATACGCTGGTGCATAGTAGTTTTTAAATGGACATTTTACGCATACATTGCTATTTCTTAGACGTAAGGGTCATACGCTGGTGCTTAGTAGTTTTAAATGGATATTTTATGCACGCATTGCTATTTATCACACAGAAGGGCCATGCGCTGGGGCTTAGTGGTTTTAAAACAGTAAGGTCATACGCTGGTGCTTAGCAGTTTATCCAGCCTCTAAATTAGTCACACAGTTCCGTTCCCTCTTACTCGCTCAAATCTTGAAGAGGAATATATATATATATATATATATATATATATATATACTACGAAGTCGTACGACCGAACGGACGACGAACGAGGGAGTAG